TTTGTTGGCTGCTGAGGTTTGTGCAACTACCTGGGACTTCCATGACAAAGTGCTGGTTACCCGTACTCCAAGGTCACGTTCTTCGTCGAGTCTTCCAATGGGCTTACCATTTACAGCATACTCATGGATTAAAGGTGATCTTTTCCGAGTAACTGTCTGACAATTTGTTTTAAGTTCGCTGAAGTTTAACCCTGATGATGTTGACCATGTGCTAAGATTATTTAAATCGTTTTGCAGTAAGTTCGCGTCCGTTTGGTTGTTAATAGTTTTAAATAGTTTAGTATCATCAGCAAAATATGAAACGGAAGAAGCGATGACAGTATCATGTATATCATTAACGTAGAGAAGGAATAGTACAGGTCCAAGAATAGAACCTTGAGGTACGCCTGAAGTAACTGCGAGGGAAGATGAAGTACCGCCAGGAACAGTAACACGTTGTTTCCGTCCGGATAGATAAGAAGAGAACCAAGAATGGAGGTTTCCCCTAATATTAATATTTTGTAGTTTGTCCAAAAGTACATCATGTCGAACTCTGTCAAATGCTTTGCTCATGTCCAAGTAAATTATGTCTGTCTGTTTTCCGTTGTCGAGTTGTTGGCCAATGCACTCCAAGACCTGTACTAACTGCGTTGTGCATGATCGACCAGGTATAAAACCGTGCTGATTATCACTAACATATTGAAGCAAATGGTCTCTTGTTTTGACTAGTACGCAACGTTCGAGAACTTTTGATATATTTGACAAAAGAGAGATAGGTCGATAGTTTGAGACATGATCACGCTTCCCCTTTTTAAACACTGGTACGATGTTGCTGATCTTCCAGTCATCAGGAAGGGAAACAGATCGTAAAGAGAGATTGAACAGTAGGCACAGGGATGGGGCTATTTGTTCGGCGGTTTCTTTCAATATCTTGTTAGAAATACCATCAGGCCCGGTAGCTTTATGTTCATTTAAAGAATGTAGTAAGGGGAGAATATCATCTACGGTGAGTTCAATATCTGTTAGGCTGTTTTCATCAGTGATTGTGGTTTCGTTTGCTGGGTGTGTTTGGTCTTGGTGAAATACAGAAGCAAAAAACGTATTAAACAGATCAGCAATCGAGTTAGGATCGTCAGCAGCGGTCGTGTTATCGTTGTCGGAACTTTTCAATGTCATACGTTGTGGCAGACTAGATTTTTTAGATGCGTATTTGAACAAGGACCAAAAGCGCTTAGGGTTCGAATTAAGTTCTGTTGCTACTGAAATGAAATAATTCTTTCGTGCATTTGCAATCATGTGCTTAACACGAGATCTCAGTTGTTTGAATTTATTACGCAATAGTTCGCTTCGATTGAATTTGAGTTTTTTTCGGATGGTATTCTTTACGTGCAATTCATGTAAGATTTCACCAGTTAGCCAAGGTGGGTTCCTTTTTCTTTTGAGCGTTTTAGTTTTTACATGACGAGAAATCAGTGAATTAAAAGCAGTAATCCAGTTAGACCAGTTTTCGTTAATATTCTATGTATAACCCTCTAAAACGAGTTTAAAACGTAAACAAACATGAAAATTTCTGTTCGCTTCTTATCATGGTAGCACAAGACATAACTTAAACTTCACTTCCGGTTATACTTATACTCATGCTCAGGTAAACAATATGCGAATGACATGACGGTGACACTCGATACGAATTCGTAATGTTGTCATGCACACACTTCAACAGCCGCTTGCTCGTGTTTCATCGCTTGTAATACACAGAATACCTCGCAAAAAGGTCAAGAAAACGCCTGTTACGTGAAAACAACGTATTCATCCAAGTTTTACGGCGGTTGTATACACTATATAACCGGTAAGATACATGCAATCGTTTCGGTTTGCATGCAAAAGTTATCACTGTGTTATTGTTGTATGCTATACGCAACAATATATAAATTTGCATGATAATATCAGAATATTGTAATTGCATTTTTTTTCAACTCGTAAAATACACACGGCAACAGAATCCGTCTTCTTTCAGAGAACACTCAAGATATAAACTTATAGTTATACTGTTCGAAGCACAGCGAGCGTTTCAGCGAATATAATTTGAGGTCGAAAGGTTTCTAAGGCTGAATTATTATTGGGTAAGAAGTTGTTATTTGACTTGGGATATTGTTATTCGCAACCGACATTGATTGTTATTTAATACCCATTGTTGTTGACGGCCGTGATCTGTGCCAACAAGCGAGGATGCGAAGTTTCTTTAAAATACGCTCGCTCATTTAATTGTTCGAAGCAAGATAACGAACATTGGAAATAACACGAGGTTGGTAATACGGACCGCCTAGAATATTAGTTAGATAGGTTGTTGTGTTTCAATCTTGTCTTTAAACGGTCCAGTGCTAGTAGTGCCAACGACAAAGAAAGCTTCGCATTGCTACCTGAAAAATACTAGGAGAACTTCGACGTTTCGAGCGAAGCCGAAGGCCCTTCGGTTTCGGCGGGAAGTTATTTTTCAGGTCGTTCGTATCCCTAGAATATATATTAATCCGAAGCTTTCTGTTGTATTTCAATTCTAGTTTGCAACATTACGTTGTTATTGAATATCTATTGTTCACGGCTGTGTCTTTAATACTCTTACATAACAAGCTGCCATACCGAACGACGTTTCCTAAGAATACAGCTTGTCAGCAATAATTTGTGCTTTCGAAGCGAAAAGTGTGAACGTATAAACAAGGTTTATCGGGCAAGCGATGTTGCTGCATTTCAATATATTGTATCAACTTGCAACTGACATAGATTGTTATTTGATATGTTGAAGGGGTTCTTGTAGACGTATAAAATTTTGATGGTAATATCTTAGATTTTTAGACCTCTGGCCTGTATGTCCAGGCAACTATATGGGTCTCAAAATGGATCAAATTTTACACCCAAAATTTCCATCTAGAAAAACCCGTCAACATTTAAGTTCTATCGAGTGTGATGCGCGAAATACTGATATTGTTATTTAATACATCTCGTACACAGCTGTGACCCGCACATAACAAGCTGCCATATACATATTTTCTTCAAAATACGCTTGATAATTTGAATACTCGTGGCACAACAGCGAGAATAGCGAAAGCAATACAAAGTTTTGGCAAGTTTTGGTTGTCATCGATTTCAGTATTGGCTATTGCAATTTAATTAACCGAATTGTATTTGAAAGATAATCTTAAACGGTTCTTAAATGATTCCCCAACACTCATGTTCTCCATTTAAGTTAAAATATAGTTGGAACACTCATCAAGACATCAAACCTTTATTTTGTTAATCTATTGAGTAGAAGAAAACATTAAATGCCCCCTGTAACAATGTGTGACTGATCTGATCATTGATCAGCTCTTATTCTTGTTTGAACGAGTCTTTATAGTATTGCAAGAACCTCAGACAATATAGCAATGGAAACATGCTGCTTTTTGAGTCGTATTATTTAATACTTTGAGTCTTTTATACTCTTTAAGATAATATGCCTGTTTCCATTTCAGAACTATACCACTGAAATTTTGATATTTTGAAGCTCAACGATGTTGAGAAATTGAGGGATATTTTAGAGTAACAATCTAACATGTTATACAAAAATGTAAGCCAAGCCATGGTCTCTTATCTAACTTATCTAATAGTCAAATACGTAGCGCAACAAACACAAGCTAACACGATAGCCTCGACCTTTCGTCCGTCACAGCGTAAACACAACACGAATTAGCTAAAATAGCGCGATCTATAGTGGGTAACTTGAAATAAACTCGCCCGACGGATGGATTCTGAATAATATAGAAAGGTAAAGCTAGGGTCAATGTTGATGAGAGTTGACAGTCACGTATTCTTAATACAGGGGTCGTTTCAAGCTCCAGATTAACAAAGTAAAGATTTGATGAGTGCTCCAACTATGTTTTAGCTTTATAAATAGAATACATGACAGTGTTGGGAAAGCATTAAGTAATAAGAACAGCTAACCAAGGCCGCATGACTACCAAACTCTCGTGCAGCCACGCGCGGATTTTTTTATACGTATAATACGGTTCACTTTTTTTCGTGTTGTGATATAATTTTATCTGCCATCATCTGGGGCCGGTTGTTCAAAGGTGGGTTAGCGCTAACCCTGTGTTAAAATTTAACCTGCTGTTTTAAGTTTGTGCATTTCTGCACGTCTGTTTATTTCAAAACTTCAGAGAAGTAAACTCGGATCCAGACAAGATCTCGGAAGAAATATTTCCAAATTTAATTATAGACAAATTGTCTCCCAGTTTGCTTTGAATTTTAGCTTAACCTAGGGTTAAGCTAACCCAGCTTTGAACAACCGGCCCCTGGCTGTATGCAGCATTTTCCCACAATTTTTTGCTTTTACTCTGTTTTTTTTCCCAATTCTCTCCCGCCCCCCAATTCCTTCACTTTTCTGAGGGCCGTCCCTAAACAGACCTTTGACCGCGTAGCTCAGTTGGCAGAGCATTGCCATTGGGCTAGTATTCCAAAGGTCGTAGGTTCGATTCCCACCGTGGCCAGGCATATTTTTCAAGCCTGCCCGGTGTGGATACACACTCAGAGTAACATCACACAAGCATCTTATTCACCTGAGTACATACAACACAGCAAATATCAAGACCTTCGTAACATGGAGATGATTTTGAACATCTCAATGTTACTAAGGTCTTGATAAGCATGACTATTCCACCAGAACTAAAGAAAGAGGTTCTAATGTAGGTCGCATTATATCCAGAACCGAAAGACATAAATCATCGTTTATGCCTCGTGCAGTTAAACTTTTTAATAATAAACTTTAAATTACTGCTGTATAATAGACGGTTCTGTAATTTTAGGCTGAATGTAGGTTGCATTATTCTCTAAACTAAAGGACATAATCGTCGTCGGTGCCTTTGGCAACAGAACCTTTTTAAAAATACAAAATTTTATTGTAATATATAGATGGTTTTATAATGTTTATGAATTTGTAAGTCCACTGTATTTTTTTACTTAAGGTGGATTATTATTAAAGCTTTACATTAACTTTACAGTGTAGGTACTGCCCACAGTAACAAAGCTTTGCCTTTGGATTGATAGAAAAATACAAGGAGAACTTCGACGTTTCGAGCGAAGGCATTTCCCATACAAACTTCCCGACGCTTTCGCTCGAAACGTCGAAATTCTCCTTGTATTTTTCAAGTGGTTGCACCGCGTCCTATAACATTAACAACAGGTAAGCATCTGATTGTCATTCGATACCATTGTCCGACACGACGTGCCACCTGTTGGCGTGTTGTATTGTGTTGCCACGTTGCGTACGAGTCACAAACTTGTCACACAACAAATGTCTTTATCCTTAGCTTCAACCAAGAAAATACGGCACAAAACAGCTCAAAATTGAAATAAATAACAACGGATCTCGTCAACGGCTCAACTTCTATTACAGGTAAGCGTATGGCTGAGATTCAATACACAATTTACGGAACTTTTAATACTGACACGAAGATCGAATTCAGTCCGGGCTATGTTTCAGCGCGGTCACAAGTGCTGATACGTAAGTCTTCAAACCCGTCCAAACGACAAAATCCTATTAAAACAAAGCGCGCAATTCTAGGGCTTTCAGCCAGGCTGAGTTCGTCATATGACCGCTTCAGCGACTGATTACATGTGGAGTTTCTAGCTCGCGGCTGCCAGACTGAAATATCAGCCCATCCTATAAGGTTAAATTCCCCATTAAAACACACCAAGCGATATCACAACAAATATTTCTGCCCGAGCTGAAATCGTCATATAATCGACTGGAACAATAATAACAAAATTGTCGTTTGTGAGTTGTGACTGTCTTTTTCATGTTACATGGATTATATTCATTAAGATTTGTTGTCGTGTGAAGATTGATAAGGCATACACGATAAATCCTGAAGTAGTCATAGTATAATTGCATGAAGTCTTACAGGATTACAAAAAAAAAATACTGCTGCAGGCTATAATCCTATACGTTATGAATATTTTCGTTCCGAACTGTTCAACTGTAATTTAGTTATTGAGTTAGTAGATTAATTAGGTATTCAACCAATTCAATAATCAGGTATTTACGAAATTGGCGTCGCCAATTTGAACGAAATTTGGGATGCCTTTTTCACTGTTTAGTGCTTGAAATATTTGCTAAAATTGACTGTGAATACTTAGCGATTTGATCGTAGAATGGCGTAGTTATATTCATTTGCTCTTTGACTAAAATGTTTAGCTGTATTATTGCTAAACATGCCGAGAATTTGGTTTGCAACTAGGTTTCAACATCCAATCACGCCATCAGCCCATTGAAAACATTAGGTCACGTCAGCTAGTTTCCTATCCATTTACTTTATTATCCATGATTATACCTATCAAACATATCTGTGAAAATTTCTGCAAAAATTTAGATCCCCAAGAAATGTCTGGGAACTAGGTGCCCAGGTTCAGATTCATTTTCCACCTCATGACGCACAAAATAAGAAAACCACTTTCGTGTCGTTTCAGCAAATTTCAACATGGAAATACAGCACGAGAACGGCGGGGAGGAATTCTCGCGAGAACGGTTAATGGAAGACATCCGACAGTATCCGTGCATCTACGATAAATACGACAAGGACTACCCCGACAAGATCGCTAAGACCAACGCCTGGGCCGCCATAGCCGCGAAGTACGGTATCTCTCCAATCGATGCCGACAAGAAGTACAAAACAATGCGAAGTTCTTACACTAGATATTTAAAGAAGAAACGTAACACACCGCCTGGCGCCAAACCGCCGCCGCTTCCTGTAGCGTTTGTGAACCTGGACTGGCTTGCGAGCCATATTGACCACAAAGAGACGGCCGTTAAGTATACTGCCAATGGCGGGAAAGATGGATACTATAGCGATTATTTAACAGGTAATATTGAGGGGAGAGGGGAGCTGAAGTGCTACAGATTGAACCGGAGCTCTGTAATAGTTCTGCCAGAAATTCCCATATGACCACTCCATCACGGTCAGACGGCATGAACTTGCCTTCTGAGCAAGTTTCAGATACCTTGACGTAAAGCACTTAGCTAGATGGCTTCATTCTGGCAATGTTTTGGTCCATAAAAAACGCCATCCCGCCTGGCCAAGTCTCTATGCTTGGTGGGATGAAAACGTCCCGTTTCGGCTAGCCGCGATGAAATAGACAGGCCCTGGATCTTTCTTGTGTTTTGCGCAAAAGTAATGCAATTTTCTTGTTGAAGAGGTAATCGACATTCTATGAAATCGACTACCTCGATTTTTTTTCCCTTAAATTGCATGCAGTTTGCTTAAATCATAGCCCATCAATGCTTTCATAGTGGTTATTACTTTGTCACACGGTCATTCAGCTACCATTCAAAGCCTTTCAGTAATTGTTCTCCCCTACCCCGCAAGCCAGCCTTACTTTCCTAATTAAATTATGTCCATTCAAATGTTTATCAGATGCAGAGGATGCATACCACAGCAGTTATGATGAAATTATGAGAGAAGAAAACAATTCAAGTGACATGATTGAAATACCCAATTCAAGTGTAACAAGCCGCCCGCGAGAGAGTTTGAAACCCGAGCCAGCAGCAAGCCATGGACTTCATGTAAGGGAAAGTTTAATAAAACCCGAGTCAGCGTCAAATCAAGTACTTCATGTTAAGGACAATCTACGTCCCGACCCTTTGCCGTCGCCAATACTTCATGTAAGCACATCTGAATATCAATCAAGTAGGGCCGCAACTCCGCCCATCACAAACCATACCAATCAAGCGTCTAGTACCCAAACTCCTCAAAGCAACGGAGCAAAATCTATTACAATGTACTATAACAGACAAAAAGACTCGCACAATGATGCGGTATTAAATCTCATACCTCTGGAGTCGGTTAAGCCTGCGTCGGCGGCGCCGACACCACCACCCTCGGAAAGTGTCGGAAAACGAAAACGGATCGAATACGATGACGAAGACGAACTTTTCTTACTGAGCCTCGTGCCGACTCTGAAGAGACTGGGACCGAGGAACAAGACTATTGCCAAGATGCGATTCCAACAAGTCCTTTTCGATTTGGAATTTCCCGCAAGTGAATAAAGTTTGGAACGGTTTTGTTGGCCGAAACTAAGGGCATTGTCGAAGACAATCCGTTAACAGATTGTGTTCGAGTGTTCGCGTACCGGCAAAGGAAATACTATATCTGCTTCAAGGTTGATGGCTTAACCTGTTACAACTTGTTGTCTAATGTGTTTACGCCTATACGGGTTGCCATAGAATCGACGTTTGATATTTTGATATTTTCATTCATAACTATACATTATCACCTTAATATTTTATAGTGTCATAGGGTATTACAAACAATGCAATACTATATAAATGTGATAGAGTATTACATATAATGCCTAACTGAAAATATATCACAAAGGGCAGTGTGGATTATAACGCTTTCGTCTGACAAATGTCCAATCAACTGTGCAGTTAATACTCGGACATTGGCTAATAATGATCGTCCAGCTTTTCAAAATTTACATTCAATTGACAAGCTATCAATTGCTATCAATTTGATAGCTCGTGCTGATCACTTCTCGCACGATCAATCACATTACTTAATATTTGGCAAGCAGTTCCAACTATCCATTCATTGCATATCGTGCTTTGGAATTTTCTGCATATCTAGTACCATAAACGTGTGATGTGATTTTGTTGCTTGTCACAGCAAAGCCAAGAAAATATTTTGTGTTCCTTCTCTCGCTTTTATGCTTGATGAACAGTACTGTACTATAGTCAAATAATATACCTTTCATTTAAATGAAAATCTCCTATTTTATATTTGCTCGGTTAAAACGTCCGTGCAGAATAAGATGAATCGGCCATTTAACGCCCGTATTCTAAAAGCACACTCACACTCAATGAGTGGAGGTTCAATCTGAGCTTCTCTTGAGTGTCAATGCTGTTTTTGAATAGCTGGAGGGTTAGTGTCGTACCACTGCGTGCCTACTCGCCCTCCAGCTATCCAAAAACAGCATCGACACTCAAGAAAAGCTCAGATTGAACCTTCACTCATTGAGTGTGAGTGAGCTTTTAGAATACGGGCGTTAGTGTTTTTGTTCGGCAAATAGCCGATTGACGACCGTTATAATCCACACTGATCACAGATTATGTTCGATTGTTCCCAATGGTTGCTGCCAGGCTTATTGACAAGATTAGAGCTATGCTGATATTATACTGAAATGCGGCGTTGCCATTCAGTCGGACAATAGCAAGGGCCGGGCGCAGGGTCGTAGCTAGAAGCAGGGTCTTAGCTAGATCGAGGGCCGTGTTGTCCGTGTTATCGCGGCCAAAAGTGGAAAATCACGGCTAGATAAAATGAACGCGGCTTCGTTATCGCGGCTGTATATGTTCATAAAATAAGGTGGTGCTACAGTACTTACAACAGACAGAATTTCTTCCTATTTACATCGTGAAATGTTGAAATTGGCAAAAGTGATCCGTGATGTTTTAATGTTTTGATGGATAATGGGAACTGTATGGTGTTAAAATGGTTTTAAGTACCCTCAAGAGTTGCTGAAATAACTTGATATTCTAATGTCAGTGCGCAATATGAGCGTATGCTCGCCTCGTATTTGGTTGCAAAGCATAGAACAACTACAGGCATTGTCTGTTGTTGGCGAGCATAACTAGAACTGTGAATTTGGCTATTCAAGGTAATTGACATGTGCACACTCTGTTCATTAGAAACACGCCCAAGATCTAAAATCCTAGCTAAGACCCTGGCTAGAAGGCCGTGCTGGTCGTGTTACCGCGGTCAAAAACTGGAAAAACACGATGAATATAATGACCACGGGTTGATTATTTATATACTCATGAGCTGTATGGGTTCGTCAAATAGAATGTTGCTATTAAGTGTAGACAGTCGTGTTGGTGTCAAAATGTAGCATTAAATTCCCCATGAGTCTAAAAAATTCACTGTAGTGTCAGTGTGAAATATGAGCATATGCTGATATATTTGGTCGAATCACATACAGTAACCATAGGCATAGTCTATACTGTTGCCGAGCATATAACTGGAACAGTCGCTAATTCTGGTAATTGGCAGACACGTGCCCTGAAATTTAGAAAAGATCTTCACCCTGGCTCATCCTTTACAGGGGATGTGCTTTTTGTTACCATTGTAATTGTTAAAGATGTAATAAAACATGAAAATTTCAGATGTTATCTCAGTTTAATTTCACGAGTTCTTGCTGACTTTCTCTGGGGTTAGGGTTGGTTTCAAGTAATGCATTAATATTCCCAAATAATAAATTAATAGCATGATAATACGTTAGAAAGATTATGGCTGCTCCCGGCTTCATTTTTAGCACAATAGATATTTAATCCATGCAGTTTATACCAGATCAGTGTTTTCGAAAAAAAACCAACTATGCAACAAGTAAAAAATAATTGTAAAAATTTCAAATGGGTTACCTGTAGTAAAACAATCCGCCATCATCGGTGATCATTATTGGATAACGTCGTAATGAGTCGCCAGTAGGATTCCACTCCAGTTCCTTATGGATATCAAATGCAGAAACGTCATAAGGAAAAGACCCACGTCCCTGAAAAAGACAAAAGAATAAATTATAAAATTAGAAGAGAAAAAAACAAACACATGTGCAATTTCGAGGAAAAAATTCAAGGGAATCGGAGGAATTTTGTATACATAAGGATAAAACACCTCATCAAACAATATTCTTAAATTTTCTTCATGAATTACTAACGATTTCCCAGTACTGAACTTCATCTAATTATATTAAATATTGCTAACCTTTGCAATTTCAATGTTGTCTGTAATAATCTCACTGTGATCTGATATCTGAATAACGAGAACATACACTATACATTTGAATTCAATGAGCTAGAATATTTATGATCAGACGATTTGTCACATCTTTACTATCTATAATCGTTTGGTGTGTAAGCAAATTGTTTTTCCCGAAGCAGCAACAAGTTGCTACGAGCTTTTTGTCATCAACTTGTTACGAGGACACCAGACTCAAAAACTTTACAAAAAGATACTGTTCAGTTGTCACACATGTCCTTTACCACTTTTGTGACATGAGTTTGATAACTGCTTGTGCAATTTTCTGCAGTGTAATGTTTCATATTGTCTGCACATGTACTTTCTTTGGAGATATCATTTGCCACTCTCCTCCGCAGAGGCTTTGTAGATCTTTGTACTTTGTTTTCTTTCTATATTGTAGTTTGTTTTCTTTCTATATATAAAGTTTGACTATAGAGTTTGCGGGCAGTAGCGGGCTAGGCAGAGAAGTGGGCACGCGGGCGGAGCGAGCGCGCGGGGTTAAAAGGGGGGCATCGTGGACATTGGAGATAATAGGGAATCTTAAAAGGGACATCGTGGACATTTGGAGATAATAGGGAATCACATTCTTCCCGTCACCCCCCGCGTGTCCACTCCTCTGCCTAGCCCACTACTGCCCGCAAGTCAAACTTTATATATAGAAAGAAAACAAAAAAGCCTCTGCGAAGGAGAGTGATCATTTGCCTCCTGACAAATGGGAAAATGATGAAGATAGTGACTCTGACTGATTTAGGCCCGGTTTAGACAGCGAACTTTTCATGCGCCGAATCTAATGCAAGGATTAAGTGCGACGTTGGAGCGGCGTCTAAATCAATTAAGTTCGGCAGGTTTTGATTAAGTTCGACACGACTCGAAGATGCGACAGGACAAGTCGTATATGCGACACAGGTTCGACATTGATTTAGACGCCGTGCTTTTCATGCGCCGAACCTAATACATAATTATTTTTTAACATCATAATATGATTATCATATATTTGCATTGTAAATATTTCCAATATAATGTCTTCGCAATTTAGTACGGTGCAATTAAGTTCGACGTCTAAATCAGTTTCCGATATTTT